AGGAGTATTACCTTGAAGTTATGCGACGTTTGCGTGAAGCAATCCGAAAAAAAACGCCCCGATTTATGGAAAAACAATTCATGGCTTTTGCATCACGATAACGCACCTGCTCACTCGTCGTTGCTTGTTCGTAATTTTTTTGCCAAAAACAATACCGTAGTCGTGCCTCAACCTCCATATTCACCAGATATGGCTCCGTGTGACTTTTTCCTGTTCCCAAAGTTGAAGAGACCCATGAAAGGACGGTGTTTTTCCTCGATTGAAGAAATAAAGGCCGAATCGCTGAGAGTGCTCAAGGACATACCAAAAAGTGAATATCAAGAGTGCTTCGAAGATTGGAAAAAACACTGGCATAAGTGTATTATATCTGGGGGGGAGGGGGATTACTTTGAAGGGGACCACATAAATGTAAACGAATAAATAAATATTTTTTTGGAAAAACGATAATTCCGGGTACTTTTTGAACACACCTCGTATTCACGAGTTGCTGCAGTGCACCGCCGATAGCAAAGTCCCCAGCGTCGACGACAATACTAATGGGCGAACCAGGTGCGGGGTGCGCGAGCAGAGCGGCGTTCGCGAGAGCGCTTTTCGAATTCGTAAAAGCGGCGCGTCCACTTGACGGGCTCATTGCCTTTTTTTGATCCTTTACCTTTTTTCGATCCTTTCAAGAGATCGTTCAAAAGTTGCAAGATTTCTGCAGCGCGAGGAACAAATCTTCGATAAAAATTGAACATTCCGAGATAACGACGTAAACCTCTAATAGAATTTGGCAAAGTTAATTTCAAAATATCATTAATGCGTTCTTTCATTGGCTTAATGCCTTCAGCGTTGACCGAATAACCGAGAAATGTGATTTCGCTTACTCCGAAAATACACTTTCCAACTTTAATTACGACGCCGTATTTCAAAAAGCGATCGAATAAAACCTTAAGATGCTCAAAGTGTAGTTCCTCGTCTTCAGACGCAATCAAAAAATTGTCGATGTACGGGTATACAAAGTCTAATCCGCGAACGATTTCGTCGACGAAACGCTGACATGTTTGTGCTGCATTACTTAACCCGAACATCATCATCGTAGGCTCGAATAGACCAAAAGGCGTTACAAGCGCGGCTTTTTCGATATCCTCGGGCGCTATAGGTATTTGATTAAAAGCACGGATTAAATAAACTTTCGAAAATACCTTTTTCCCATGGAGATTTTGCGCGAAATCTTCGATGTGCGGTGGGGTATAACTGTCGGGGATGGTGCGCTCGTTGAGAGCGCGGTAGTCGCCACACGGTCGTAGGCCTCCATCCTTCTTGGCTACGACGTGGATAGGCGTTGACCAAGGGCTCTTGGAAGGCCGTATTACTTCCTGCTGCAGCCACACGTCGAATTCAGCCTTAACTGCTTTCAGACGGTCGATGTCGAGACGACGAGGCTTGGCTTGTACAGGTGGGCCAGGCGTGGTCTTTATGTGATGCTGCACTCGACGCTTAATTAATCCTTTACGAAAGATTGGCGATCGCGTCAAGTCCGGATATTTTTCAACGAGCTTATAGTACTCCGATTCACCGGTCACAGTTTTTACGGAGGCTGTCTCGTTACCATTGCTGGCGCATCCACGCGTTGATAAGCCGGTTGCTTTATCGATCAAAGTCTTATTTTTCGGATCTATCAATAAACGGATGTGCGACAAAAAGTCTAGGCTGATTATCGCGGCACTTACATCGGCAATAATGAAGGGCCACTTGAACTCGCGACGTAGAGACAAGTTCAAGTTGAAAGGCAACACCCGTAAGTATTGATTTTTGATCCGTTCGCCGCGAAAAGTTGGTACTCACTTAATTTCACCTTCTTAAACATCTATTTTCGCGGGTACACGCATACATCAGCACCGGTGTCGATGAGAAAAAATCTGTTTGTGTTAAAGTCTGTGACTTAAACTCAGCGTTGCGTGCAACCGTCGGTGCTCGCCATGTTCACTGACGGCGCGCATCGTTTCCCGTCCACGTGCAATCTCTGCGGCATTTAGTTGCATTCTCTTTAAATTTTCGGTGGTAGTAGCAGAGTCGGTCGTTTGCACCGGGTGCTGGCGTATTGTCGCGTTTGCTTCCGATCTGCTGCTCGCCGCGTGGACGTGAGCGGCTATGACCATGTCCTTGTGCTATCGCGTTTAATTGCATAGCCAACTGCTTGATCTGCTCAGACAGTGCAGAATAATCATCGACAGTGTTGACCTGTTTGCTCGTCGTGTGTTTCACTTCATGCACAGCGTCTGCGAGGTTCAAAATCTTCGCCGCGTCCGTCTCGTTAGAAGCTGCTAAGACTGTCTGCAATTGCGACGGCAAGCGCGTTTTCCATACCTGTATCATGAAGTCTTCGGTAGTGTTTGAGGTGGCAAGCGACTTCAGACTGCGAAAAAACTCGGAAGGCTTTCTATCACCCATCTGCTCGCTTTCCATAAGCTTGCGGACTCGCGAACTGTCAGACTCGATGAGACGATCGATTATTTTTGTTTTGAGGTTTGTGTACCTGTTTTCATCCGGCGGAGACTCCAGGATGTCTTCCACTTGATCAATAGCTTTTTCAGTCAAACTCGAGAGGGTATGACAATACTTGAGATTGTCATCTGTGATAGAGCAGGAGATAAACTGTACCTCGAGTAGCAAAAACCACATTTCAATTTTGTTCTCCATAAATGGCGGCGTACGAAAGTGTCGTGCTGCGTGCACACACACTACTTGTCCGGAAATACCACCGCCTTCGACGCCGTTGGTCAAAGTCATTTTCACAAGCGTTGGTTACACTATACACAAACACTGAACGATCACGAAAAATTTTACGTAAAAGTTTTCATTTCACCGCGTTCACCCTTTTAAATCACGTCGGGGTTACCAATTGAGGTTCGTTTGGTGGGTGAATATATTAAATAAATATGGCGATGATTTAAGTGTAAAGGAAAACTTGATGTTTTATTAAAAGTAGACTAACTACTACAAATACTTAATAGTAGAGACTTAGTCTACGCAAAGACCGCGCATCTCGCAGAGAGTAGAGATGTAAGCGTGTCGGCAGTTCTAGCGTGAGTGACGATTCACTCGTCATATCTCAGCGAAGATGCTTCCCTTGGGAATCGGGGGAAGGTAAGTCTCACCCACGAAGTCCTGAAAAGGGTAGCTGAGGACCAACGGGAAAGCAGGGTGATGAGATGTGTTTTGTCGCTAACAACAAGGGATTAGAGAGAGAGCAAAGCAATTTTCATTTATTGCGGGCGCACCATAAAAATCGAAATTCGGTGCGGCAGTTAAGCGGCAGCCGCGCAACAGCTGAACTAAATTATTTTATTGATGCTGGGGAAAAACTGAAAGTTTTAACCAAGTAGATCAACAGATAAAGCACGTCCGCCACACACACTTAAACAATGGGACGATAAAGTCAAAACTGATTCACAGTTCATACATTATTATGAGTATTAAACTAAATCACGAAGAAAATGTAGTTCGTATATGCATCTATAAGTGCGAAAGACTATTTAAGAGCAATAATTTTTTGTGAAGTGAGATGTTCATTCGCCGTTTTTAAAAATTATCATGCACTGATACTTTATTTCGTAGTACGAATGTATACAATTCTTCACGTATTTTTCAGTCAAATTTTCCTTTAATAGCCTTAAGATTGTGGGCACGTAGAAGAGAAAAAACAAAATAGAACAAATGCAATCATAAAAGATTAAAATACTAACATAAATATTACTTTTTGTATATAATATGGTTAAATTATTAAACTGCAATTCTTTGTACGGTATGACTCGCTTCGCTCACGTTGTCTCAAAAAACACAATACGACATATGCGTAGATAGGAGACGTCTTGCGTCGCCAAACATCTATCAAAATGTGCTATAAACTGAAAAATTTATAAATTTTGTTCATTATTTCCAGATCGATTTCAAAATCGGTATTCAGTCAATATGTGGACAGGCTAGATTGGTAATCAAGTTATTGGTCCGGTACAACTTCCAAACCCACTGAACGATGAAAATTACCCTGAGTTCCTGCAGGATATACTTCCAGAAATGCTTGATGAATATGATGTGCCAGAAGAACTGCAAGAAAATCTTATTTTCATGCATGACGGTGCACCAGCACATACTGCTGCGAATGTAAGGAATTATCTTGATCAGGTAATTATTATAGTATACATTGTTGTTGGAAATATGTAAAAGCATCTCACCTATTTTGCTGCACGTCTCGCTCTCTCTTGGCGGCTAGTGGCGTTGCCGCTCAATTCGTTCTAGTCTCTTCCGTGACGCGGACGCCAAAAGCTTTCTCTCGAATAAAGCATTTCTTTTCTACAACTGTCTATTCACTTATTCTACCTGCTTTGAAGGGTAAACCCTTCCTTGCCAAAAATTGTATTACGCGATTTCTCTTTAATGAAAGTTTTAACGCTCTGAAATTTCATGTAGGATAATTTTGTCGTGGCATTATGCCAGTTATTTGCTGAAGGGAATATTGCTCTGACTTGAAAGAAAATTTAATTACTTTTATATTATTCTTTATAAAAATATAAAAGTCGTTCTAGGACAAATAGCCTTATGAAAATTTTCTACTTTGTATCATACTTGACGAGTTTTATTTCCGTCGCTCAAAGATTCTCAAATCTTAATTAAAATCCGCTCTCCTCCTCTTTCCCTTTTATTTCAACTCTACTTTGAATATAAAATTTTTTAATCTCTACGTATGCTGCCAGTATTTTGATTACTCGTACTACTTCAGTCTACAGAAGTTTTAAAACCAACACGGCTTCATTAGTATACTTCGGGAAGCATGTGAGAGTGCATTCACAGTACAGCGCTAGAAACCAAATATGTATATGTCTGTACATGCACCTGCATGTACAACTGTCGGCTAGAAAAATTATTGGTTTCATAACAAATTTTACGCAGGTATATTAAAATCGCTTATAAAATATTTTAATTCTTCAAGGTATATGGCGTCCGTTGGATAGGCAATAATGGTCCAGTACGCTGGCCAGCAAGATCTCCTGATTTATTGGGGTACATCGAAAGAAGCAGTTTATCACAATGGCGACCTCAATAACCCAAATGAAATGATTCAAAGAATCCAAAATCACGCCCAGCATCTAGAACCCGAAAAAATACATCAGATAAGACGTAGAGCTATTTTGTGTATTCAGCAACAGGGGGGGCATTTCGAACAATGCTTGGATGGTGATGATGGTAGTAATGGTGATGATGATGTTGCTGAGGAGGAGGACGAGAATGGTGATGATGTTGTTGAGGAGGAGGACGAGAATGGTGATGATATTGATGTTGATAGCAATGATGAAAATGGAGAAGATGATGATGATGATATGAACAACGATGGTGAAAATGATGGCAGCGAAGACGGTGAGGCTGATGATAGTATGGATGAAGATGATGACGACATTGGCAACGATCCGGATTGGAAGATATGAATTTACATGTTTTTTATATTTTTTCTTTTCTACTAAGGTTATACTAAAAACTAGTCAGCCTAATAGTAGACGAAATTCGAATAATTCGATAAAACGTTATACTCTGTGTAAATAAAGATGATTTATTATATAAATCTGTTTTTTCAATCATCTCCCTTAGCTGTTTTGGTTGTTCTCAATACGTGCCTCAATTATTTAAATTTTCATACACCACTGAGTTCATCACAAACAGTTATGGATAAGTGGACTTATGAAAAAATTTTTCTAGGATTGAGGTAATTAGATAAATAATTATAAAGAAGAGTGATAATTTACTCGTTCAACTTATAAAACTGGAATCAAGACAGATAATTGTGGGTGAGGTGACAGAATGTCAACTGACGAAAGGTCAAATAAGCGTACGGTGGTGAGACCATTCTCGTTATTCTACCTTTTTTTCCGCTCTCGTCCTTCCTTTCCCATATTTCCCAAAACATAGACTACGTCTAACTCTTGATCATTGACACTTATACCACAGCTTACCTTTGGTCTGTTGCATTACCTGTTCCGCCCGTTGCTTTTGTCTTTTCAATATTATCTTCACGTCTTCTACGGCTAAACCTGGCCACACTATGCTCCTTTGCCTTTCTACCAAAGTCCATGTTTGACTCTAACTCTTCTATCAAGAAGCACTGAGCACATCTGCCCTTCACACAAATCTCTATATGTCTGACACACTTCTGAGACCGACCTCAGGTTGACCGCTGTTTCTTCCGAGTTGTTGCTCTACCTTCCCATCTTCTTAAACTATGCTCGCTCCGCCCTATTTTTTGAGACTCCGCTTCGGCTAACTCTTTCTCCAAGTCAGAATGGCCTCGTCCGCTCTCTTTTCCGAATCCAACTTCGTCTAACTCTATTTCAAACCTGCATTGGACACATCTGTTCTCTTTTTCCGAGAACCCGCTCCGTTTGACATAATTTCTAGTTAGCAATGTGGTCGTCTGGGATCATTTCTGCGCCCTTGCTCCGTCGGACCCATTCCTAAGACCCTACTATGACCGCCTTATCTTGTCCCCAAGCCGCCTCCTATTATTGCTCGTCGTTAACTGTCAATCCAAGTTGACACTATGCTCGATTGGCCTTTTCCAGAGAAGAAATGGGCTCGACCACCTTCTTATTCGAGCCCTACTTAGCCTGACCCTTTTCCAAGGCCACCCCCTGCTCGTCTAGCCTACAACTAGCACCCTCGCTTTTATGTGCCGTTATTCCCAGTCAGCACTACGTTTGCCTAAACGTTTTTCCGCACCCTCACTCCGACTAACCCTTTACTAAAGCAACACTGGGCTCCTTCGCCAATTTTTTCGAGTCCGCACTGCATGAATCTTTTGCTAGGCCTCCCCATGTTCGACTAGCTACAATCTATGCAACCGCTTCGTCTGCCGTTTTTTCCATTCAGCACAACGCATCTGCACTCTTTTCTGCGGACTCGGATACGGACATAACCCTGTGCTCGTCTACCCTTCTGAACGCAACCCCCAGCTCGTCCGTCCATTTTCACCCAGCCCTCAGCTTGTCTGCTCTTTTGGACATGGCGCTCTACACGTCCGCCCTATTTCACACAGCCCTCCGCTCCATCCGCCCTATTTCACCCAGTCCTTGGCTCGTCTGCCCTTTTTGACATAGCGCTCTGCTCGTCTGCCCTTGAGGATGCAGCTGTCTACTCGTCCGTCCTATTTCACACAGCCCTCCGCTAGTGTGCCTTATTTCACCCAGCCCTCTGCCCGTCCGTCTTATTTCGACGTCTCCCCCTCGCCGTCCGCCTAATTTCGACGTAGCCCTCGGCTCGCAAGCCCTTTTAGACGCAGCCCTTCGCGCGTTCGCCTTATTTCACGCGGCCCACCACCCGCCCGTCTCATTTTACTCTGCCCTCCGCTCGTCTGCCCTATTTCATCAAGCCCACAGCTCATTTGTCCTTTCTGACATTGCCCTCCGCTCGTCCGTTCTATTGCGACCCGCCCTCCGCTCGTCCGTCACATTTAGACGTAGCCCCTAGCTCGTCCGTCTCATTTCGCCTTGACTTCCACTCATTCGCCCTATTCCGCCCAGCCCTCAGGTCGTCTGCTCTTTTCGACGTAGCTCTCTGCTCGTCTGCCTTTCGTGACGCTGCCCTCTGATCGTCCGTCTTATTTGGACGTCTCCCTTTCACCGTCCGTCTAATTTCGACGAATCCATACCACCGTCCGTCTTATTTCGACGGATCCTCCCACCGTCCGTCTAATTTCGACGAATCCCTACCACCGTCCATCTTATTTCGATGGATCCCTCCCACCGTCCGTCTAATTTCGACGCAGCCCTCTGCTCGTCTGCCCTTTTGGACGCAGCCCTCTGCTCGTCCGTCTTATTTCACCCAGCCCTCCGCTCGTCCGTCTTATTTCGACGAATCCCTCGCACCGTCCGTCTAATTTCGACGCAGCCCTCTGCTCGTCTGCCCTTTATGACACAGCTCTCAGCCCGTCTTTCCCATTTTACACAGCCCTCCGCTCGTCTGTCCTGTTTTAACATAGCCCTCTGATCGTCTACCCTTTTGGACGCAGCCCTCCACTCGTTCGTCATATTGTGACCTAGGTCTCTGCTCGTCTGCCCTACGTCACAGAGCCCTCCGCTCGGCCGTCCTATTCTGATGTAGCCTTCTGCCCGTCTGTCCTTCTAGACGCAGCCCTTCGTTCGTCTACACTTTTTAACGTTGCTCTCGCTAATCTGCTTTTTTACATTTCCATACTGGACTCATACCCCTTTATCGTAGCAACACTAGGCTCGTCCGCTCCTTTTTAGAGCCGTACTGGGCTCGTCCGCCCTCATCAGACCAGCGCTCGGCTCCTTTGACTTTTCCCGAACAGCACTGGGCTCGTCTGCTATCTTCCCAGCGCCGTTGCTTCGCTTGTCGTATTTTCAGTCATCGCTGCGCTCGTCTGCCCTGCTTAATCAAGTCCCAGCTTCCTCCTGACTATTTCTAAGGCCGCGCCGTGCTCGTCTTTTTTTCCTCCCCGAGTCTCTGCTATATGTGACCTTTTTCTCAGAGCAGCTTAGCGCACGTCTGCCCTCTTCGCCTAAACCTCGGCGTCATCAGAATTTTTACTTGAGCCTCGCTTTGTTCGCAGCTTTTCTGAGGCCGCACTATAGTTTATTATGATCATGGAAGAGCAAAAATCTTATGACCGTCGATGTCGGCCCTAAAAAATTTTTGAACGTATCATGTTTTTTCCAGAAAAAGTTTTTTCCATTGTATTTTTTGTCGTTGACCCTGAATCTAAAGTCAAATTGCCAGTTTGACAGTTAGCAGTTGTCATGACAGCTGTGATAACAATTGACTTCAAACTCGCGTAAAGGAAACGCGAAAACAGTAGGGTGACTTTTTCTGTTTCCGCGTATAAAAATTTTGTCGAACTTTTAAATTGTCGAAACAATTTAATGTCAGATTCGTGTTCAGCGATGAAAAATACAATGGGAAACAAATTTTTCGAGATCGAAAAACAATTGTGGAGCATACAATTGCCAGCGCGACCTTGCTGGAAGCGAAAAACTGAATTTCCCAGTTTTTGACTGTGAGCTCGAGAAAAAGTATCACACCGAACTTTCTAATCGCAAAAATCGGTATCCTTTTTCATTCTAGGCCCTTCAAGGTACAACTTATTGCTTTCAAAATTTTTTCAGAGTCAAAATCGGCGGTGATAAGATTTTTGCTCATTTTAAATTCAAAATAAACCGCAATGGGCCGCCCCGTCTGCGTCCGCAATTCTCTTAGGTCACACTGCGTTCGTCTGTCCTCATGCCCCCCAACCTCATCCCCCGTTTCGTTTATTCTTCTCAAAATCCGCACCTTCGCCACATCCACTACTCTCTCCGAGCATCCTGGCACCTTTGACTCATTACGTATCTTCTTTCGTATGTCGGTTTTTTAAATGATGAAGTTACCATGCGGAACAGGGCAACGAGAGATTGATTTTAAAAAAAATTATGGAAATTTGTTTTTGGAATTTCTTTTCACCGAAAAGTGGCGACGACTTTTTTAATTTTGAGTTTTTATTATTTATAAATCTTAATTCAACTTAGAAAAATTGATGTACACACATTTACGCACTTTATGAAAAGCGTTTCGCTTCCCAGACTACGACTTAAAGTTCTAATGGGTTCTACAATAATCCTAACTATTTTGATAATTGTAGCTTGCTCGTTAGATTGATAATGATATTTCAGAAATGCGCAATGTATTGTAGATCTAGTCTTCAGCATTGCGATATTTTCTTTATAATTATTATGTGCTGGAAATAATTTCATGACTAATGATCATTACTGAAATTCAAATTTCACTTACTTGATTCGAGGCGCCGAGTTGCTGCAAGCCATCGTAGCGACAGCATTTTTGTTTACGAGCCGCCTACTTGCCAAAACGCGTTTTTTCTCTGAGATTTAAAGCTCCTTCTATTATAGGCCCTATTAGAGTCTCACCCATAGTCTGAAATTCAGATGTGATACGATTCGCACGCGTGAGAAATTTTAGGATGGATTTTCTGTGTGTGACTAGTGTAAATCGTCTCGCACACGCGAATTGAGACTTTGTTCCAAGTGTGATGACACATCAGGGGTGAATTTCTCACATGGGAATTTTCAGCCGAGGGTTGTCAGTATTTATTTATTATTATTTTATTTCTTAATCTCAAAAAAACGTATAACCAAGCTAATTGGAAACACACTGTACGCCTCTACGTATTGATCGCAATTTTCTCAAATGCAAAAAAAGCAATGATGTAGTAGCCGATCACAGCGATTTTCAGCATTAAATGAACATAATTCTTAAGTAAGACGGCGAGTTTAAATTCGACTACCACGAATACTAAATAACCTATTTCGCAAAATAAACACAAAAGCTTTCACGTGCTTCATTGTTAATAGTCAATCGGTATTGAACCGTTCTTATTATTGATACGCGTTTAATTAATGAATACGTATATCAGTATGTAGAC